ATAAGTTTGCCTAGAAATTTACTAATTAAATAGTCTTTATTTGAAGGTTTATAAACATTATTTTTGTAATTGTATTATTTTAATTTAATTACATTCATTTTAATTGACCTGCATTTCCACTTCTTGTTCAAGGTCTTTGGTATAGTTTATTGGGCATTAAATAACTTTTAGAATTTATTTTATAACAAGATCAGCGTTTTATTGTAAATTACGTTAATTTTATTTAATTTAGAAACTTTCAGACATAATTTTATGACTCGTAACAATTTTTGGTGCTTTAAAATTAACAAAATTTATAAAAATAATTTATTTTTAATTTAATATTTTTACTAAAGGTTATTATTTTTAAATGATAAATATTTTTATTTGATATTTTATGAGAAATTGCGATCTAATTCGCTTTGAAATTGGACCATCTTCTTTTGAATTATAATATTTTTGTTTAATTGGACGCTCTACCTCAACTTCGAATTTATAAAGGATAAATTAGAAAATCATTAATATTAATCATTAATATTAATTGTTTGTTTGTTCCTTGATTTAAATGATTTTAAAAATTTATTCTATCTTTGATCAGCGATTCATTGGGAATAAATTTAATTTTTTTAATTTAAATTTTCATACATACTTAATTTTATAAATCGGAAAAATTTTTGCTGCTTTAAAATTAAAAAAATTTTATAAAATAATTTATTTTAATTTAATAAGAATCAATTTTATTGTTTCTTAAACGTGACAGTTGACGGTGAAGTATGAAAAATACTTTCTTAAATTTATATATTTTTATATTTATAGTTATTAAATTTATATTTTTTATTTGATCTAAATTTTATTATTTTTTTTAATTTTTAACTTTTTAGAATAAATTATAAATATTTATTTAAAACAAATTTTATTTAATGATGAAAATTTATTGCTTGTTTTTAAAAAGATCCAGATGGAATAGGTGATCTTTGTCTAATTTGATGTGTAGTGTTTAATTTATTTTTTAAAACTACTAATTTAAAGAATAAAATTTTTTTCTTTTTATTATAACGATATTTTTCTATCTATACATTTTATTTTTAATTTATTTTTAAATTTAAATTACTTTGTAAGCGGAAATTCATTATTAGTTCTTTAAGCCAATAAATAATAAATTATGTAATTGTAAAAATTTACTAACTGCCCTTTAAACACAATTCGGTTTACACTTATACAAGCTTAAATATTTAAATTTTTAAAAATAATATTCAATATTGCTTTCCTTTTTCTTCCTCGTAACACGGTTCTTCTATCTTTCAGTACAAAGAATTTTTATTTTATTCTCTATTCCTACTAAATAAAATATCATTTTTTAAATTAAATTTTAATGCTTAATTTCAAAACAAAATACAAATCTAAAAAAATTAAAATCATATTTTGTAAAAATAGTATGAATTTTTAAAAGTAGTTTGTAATTGTTAGCTTGTTATTTTATAAATATTTTCAATATTAATTTAAATATATATTTAATTAATCATAAAATAAATTATTCAACTTCATTTTCAAAAATCGGTTAACACACACAGATATTTTTAATGGAAAAAACAGAATTTTTTATAACATTTTGATGCTTCTTTCAAAATTTGTTCATATCTTTAATAAATTTAGAATTTTTGTAAAATTTGGAATGATTATTAATTATATTATTTTCATTAATCGTTTTTAATGTTACATGCCAAACCGAATAATAATAATAGTTGACGGTGTTGAAGCACATTTTTTGTGAATCAAACTTTTAATAATACAAGTCGTATAATCGTCCTTATCATCAGTTGTGATAAATAGGTGTGACTTGCTTTATTTTTTAAAATTTTTTTTAAATAAATTTATTTAATAATTTCTAAATTAAAAAAGTTTTTTATAATAAATTGCTAAGTAAAATAACTATATGTACATATAAGGTTTGTCATGTTTAATTTCCTCCATTAAGGTGTTCTAATAATTTTTTTATATTTATATCAGTACAAATTAATTTTTTGGACTATTATTTAATTTAATTTTTAAATTTATTTATTGTTAAAATATAAATTTTAAAGTTTAAAATATAAAAATTCAAAATTTAAAGCGTCGTTTGAACCATATATAAGCATATCATTATTTCCAGCTTATTTAATTAATATATGAATTAATTTATATAACATACTTTATGTTAAGATTTATAAAAAATTTAAAATCCTGCAGCACGAATAATAAAAATTTAATAAATAATTTAATTGAACAAATAATTTTATAAAAAAAATAATTTTATGTAGTCTTCTAAACCATCATTAACATGTAAAATCAAAGAAAATATTTTTAAACTTTATAAAATTTCACGGAAAATTTTTAATTTAAATGTTAATTATTTGCATTATTATTTATAATAATAAGAGAATTTAATAATTATTTTTAATTATTAAAAATTCCTTTAATTTTGTCAATTTTATATTATCCTATTCTTGCAGAACAGAAAAGTATATATCTACGCAAAAGTGTTATAATAATTAAATATTTTAAAAATTAATAGTATTTTATTGCAGTATTAAATATTCAATGAATATATGTAGAATTAAATATTTTTATTTTATTGATTGAGAAAAACTCAATTTGCTTAGAAAAATAATGAAGGAGAAAATATTGGAAGAAGTAAAATAACAGCCATTTACTTATGTAGGAGATATTTTACTGCGATAACACTGAGAAAATTGGTTAAAGGTTTGCTGGTTTAGGAGAGATAGTATCTATTTTAGTTACATCATTAACTGACCATTCATTAAAATAATATTACAACTATTTTAATGATAAGAAAAATAGATCTAAAAAGTAAATACTGATTAATTTTAGTAGATTTCCTAACTACGTATTTAGCTGATTTCCGATTTCAAATTCAAACTTTTGAGCCATTTCCGATTTTCGGCACCTTCATTATTTCCGATCTATTAACCTCAGCCCCAGCCCAAAGCACAAACAACTGCGCTACAATTAAACTTTACGATAAGTGATTTCAAATTTTTTTAAAAAGTTGACTGAAATATAGTAACGAACATGACAACCCAAACATTCTCTAGCAAACATTCCCTCTAATCATTGGCCATTAAAAATTAAATAGCAAAATGTAAAGCAAAAGTCGATAATAAAACTCGGCATTTACTTAAGATGTTAAAGTGCATCTTCGATTTAAAGAAATTCATATGTGGAAACGCACTACTTAATAAGATTAATGTAGGGAGGCAGAGAAAGAGAGGTGATTGATAGTGAGAAGACAAGGAAAAATCTCTTGCTTTACAAGCTCTCTTAACATCTTGCCTTTACAAGCTCCCTTAGCCTCTTGCTTTACAAGCTCCCCTCCCTACTCCCTTTACCTCCCTTAAGCTTTACAAGCTCCCTAAAATTTCACTCCCCCCCCCCTCTACCTCTTGCCTGCTTGCATGGATTAGCATTGAAGTTATTTGGGGATTTATTTTTAATTTAATAAAAAAAATTATGAAGAAGATTATGCATTATCCTAGTCAAAATACAATTTTTTATAGCAAATTTTCCCAATTCAGCTTTGTTTCTACAAAATTCTCTCATTATTATAAGTTTTATTATGCTTTTCCCTTAAAATTTTAAATTTCCTTTAAAAAATTTTCAGCATTCTATGTATAATTAGTTAAATTAAAAGATTTTTTACTAATTAATTATCTTCAGAATTTTCATCATAGCAATTTCTAATCTATTTGTTTTTAGGATGAAAATTAATTTAATTATTATTCTTATAATAATTTTCATTAATTTAACATTAATGAATTTTATTATATCAATGAAACGAAAAGAACCTATGGACAGTTTAAATAATAAAGAAGCACATTCAGGATCCTCAACAAGTCATTCTCCCGAGAAAAAAGTTAAAATTGAGAAATTTAATTTGAAAAAAGGAAAAAGGATAATTAAAAGCAATTTGGAAAAAAGAAATAAAACGTTTCCAAAATAAAACGTTTCCATACTCCAAACTCCCCCATAATTTCAATAAGCAAAAAAATTCCAGCTATTTGAAATCTTATTTACAATTGAAATCCTAATATTTTCACAGAAAAAATTAATTTTCAAAATCGCCTGTAAATAAATTTCAAAACAAGTTCACCCTGGAATGTCAGAACACAAATTATCCAAAAGATCAAATACAACTTTTGAGAGGATAATGGTGATCTAAAAATATAAAAAAGCTTCTTTATCCGCGTAAATTTTTCTCAAGAATAGTTTACCTGCTTCCTTTTGCATTATCCGCAGTTGCACGAGAGTATTTCCGTGTCAAATAACCCACCTTAATCCTAGCAAATCCGTCTTAATCCGTCTAAATCCGTCGATACCCTCCTTAATACCCACAAATTCATCTTAATATGCAAAAATCCTTCTTTATCCGCGTAAATTTTTTTGACCTTTTGAGTAATTTGACCATTTGGGTCTTGACCTTCTGGGTCTTGACCTTCCGGGTTGATCAGTTCAAAACAATTTTAATATTTATCAAAATTCATTTAAACATTTAGTTTGCATATATACGAGGATTACTTATTTTATACAACTATGGTAAAGTAGCAATGGGAAGATTTAAAATTAACACAAATTTTATTGGAGATGTTCTTCGCCTGCATCCTAATTGCTATGATGATAAAAATATTAATCCGTAATATTTATTTAAATTTGCCTCATTTATTTTTTGTGATTAAACAAAAACAGGCCTAGAGTTTAGAGTTGAAGGAACAAATAACTTCCTCAAACGATTTAAAAAATATTCCTTTAATCCTAATATGAGACGTTGGCTTTATTAGACATGTTTTTAGCATAGAATGGCAATCCAATCCATTCAATTCTAAGAACAAAGGTCAGATCCTTTGTTAATTTTGTAGAAGAGTTTGGCAACTTGAAATATCGACCTCTCATATCTAGATGTTATACTTTTACAATAATTTTTAAGCTATAAATACAATCCTGCAAATAAAGATCTTTGGGAGTTAGTTATGCTATCAATGAGAATAGATGTCGGAATGGAGAAATGTGAAGTTAATCTGGATGCTGTTAAAAATCTTTATATGAATAAAGAAAAAATAAATGATGATTATTTTGTTTATCGAAAAGAAGAGAATCAAAATATTTTGAATCATGAAGATGAAGAGGAGGATACTTATTGGGAGGATTGGCATAGACGTACGATGGAGGAGCTAAATGAAACTGGGCAAATTCAAGTCAACAATATTCAACATTCAGATAAAGGGAAGAATAAAATGGATGAGAATTAGAATTGAAAAAAAGATAACGAAAATTTCGAGATGAGCCACTATTATATTAGTGAAAAAGTAAAAATCCAAAATTTTATTTTACATTGATGTATTCCCTTGTTTATAGTTTATACTTCCAATCAACATTTATCCACCCAAACAAACACATATATATTTTGCTAATTATGATTTTTTGACATTTATTTATATTTAGATTATTTGGAGGATCTTTTTATGGGGGGATCCTTTATATGGGGTGGCATTAAAAGGAATATGTATTAAAGGATTTAGGGGAATAAGAGCATAAGAGGATGAGATGGGATAAGGGGTATTTAATTTTAAATAGATAAATAAGAAAACTACATAAATAGAAAATTTGTAGTAAACATATTAGAAGTAATCCTGCTTTTATTTTTTAAAAACAAAACTTTATTTAATCAAATGATGAATGTTTTTATTATTATTTTTAGAATGATATTATTATAAATATTTACTCTAAAATTATTTTAGTTTTTTTAAATGATGCTGTAAATAATAATAATTATTCAAATTCGAACTTTTAGGATATTTTTAGGTTTTAATATTTTAGTGATGGTCAATAATATTTCTTATTTAATTTATAACGCGTTGGTTTTTGATCGCCAAATAAAGTTAAGAAAATTTTGGTTTCTTGTTAAGCTCATGGATATATTAAAGCATTGTCCATTTATGAGAAAATATGGACAAGAGACAACTTTCTGTAGAAAAAGGCAACAATAGAAAAGAGAATACCTCTCCTTATTGCTGTTTATTAAAAGTCACGGAACTGCCTAAAATTACTATTACCACCACGAGATATTTTTTAAATCTACGGCAAATATAAACACGTCCTAAGAGTAGATCTTTTTCTGTCCAACGTCAATAAGATACTGTTTTGGGCCGCAAAGATTTGGCCTGAATTGTGATTAGGAGTAGCGATCGGACTGGGAGTGCCGTACGAGAATCGAGATTTCGAAAAATCTCAATAATATCGTTATCGAGATTTTTCAAGATCGAGATCGTTATAATTTAAAAAAGGTTGTAGAAATTGCCTAATTTTTTAATTGTCTTTTCTTTAAAAATTTTTTTTTACTTTTTTTATGTCGAAAATTAAGTAAAATTATTTTCCTGTTTACATCTACATATGGGTGTGCACTTTTGTTTCCGTCTTGCCCTTTGATTAAAGCACAAAATTTTAAAATTTATCTACGATTCAAAAATTGTTTTTATTTATTGTGTCGGAAATAACCTTATCAAATAAATTAAGAAATATACAAATTATTATATAAATTTCCTTGCAAATTCTTTGATATGTTATAAAATTCTATAAGAATATTTAATTTATTTAATAATTTTTAAAATAAAAATTAATTTTAGTCTCTATATGCCGTTCAAATTTACTAAAACAATTAACGGATTTCATAAATGTGAAACTATAATTGGCAAATTAATTATGAGCACATTAGATAGTGCATATATAGTATAAAATAGTATGATAAAGTTAACATTTTTGTTTAGACAGACAAAAATTAAGTTTAATTTTATACGAATTATACGATTTATAAACAAAATGAAAAAACATTTGGCGGAAATGTTTATTCATATTTTTTTATTAATATTATCAGGCTTTAACATTTATAAACATCATCTAATTTAAAAAATCACTTAAGAATATTTATTAATATTTAATAAAATTTACAGAATTTTTAGAATGAAAATTTTTAATAATATTATTGTTTTTATTTTAATGTATAACGCAATATTATGGATTTATATTACTCCAATGGAAGGTCCATCGACAAGCAAAAAACGAAAAATTGATGAAATTTCAACCTCTAAAAAACAGTCGGAGAATGCTTTCAATATTAAACTTACAAAGATAAAAGAGAAAAATAATTGTAATTATCAGATAACTAAAGTTATTAAACCAACAATTAAAATTCAGGAAGAATTAATTAATTATTATAAAGCAAAAAATACAAAATTTGAAAAGGCATGGGATCAATCTAAACAGGGAATCAAAACTTTAATAACTGATCGGATTGACAACGACTTGAAAGTATGGATTTTGTTGTGTAGTGGTAGTATAAAAGCCAGTGAAAGCGTCAGACTAGTGGGATCATACTAGCGGGGCTAGTCTATGATCTCCTCGGTCTGTTCCAACTCTTCCATCCCTTCGCCCACACATTGTAAATTTCTACACGAGATAAACTTTATTCTAGTGCACGTCAACATTACTATAATCTCGGACACCTCCGGTTGTAACAGATTTTTACTATAAAACTAGTCATTATATCGTGAGACCTATTCGAAGCAATACAGAGAATATAAGAGAATAAATTTCGAGGGCTATAGGCCGAACCTATCACAGAATAAAAAATTATTTGAAAGCTTGTTCTATTCATAATCTTACTGCAGTTTAGACATTTCAGAAGACATTAATAAAGCCAAGTTTAAATCATTATTAGAAATATTATCTTCCTACCTTACAAATTTATCACTTATAAATTATTTTTGTTTAAGCTGGAATATATTCGAGGATTGCTTGTTTTATACAAATATGGAGAAATCGCGATAAAAAGATTAGCTAATGGAAAGAATTTTTTCAGAATATTAATGGCCATATATGGAATTTGCTTATATGAAAGTTACATTGAGCCAAAAAAGAAAAGGTATTTTGTTTTAAAATATTGGGTAATCGTGACACTCCCCAACACTCTTTTTTATTCCTTAATACACATGTAAATAATCGAGAGATTTTTTACATAAATAGAAACAGTAAGCACTCCTCTGGAGGTCGATCGAAAAAAGAATTTGTTAACAACATCTAATATTGTTATCAACGAGGCAACTATTAAGTCTCGATACAATTTATCCAATAACTCTTTCAAAAGATAATGTCAGAGCAGGGTGACCCTTTCCAAACTACCAAAATAGGGCGCAGCCACTCAAAAATATTGCAAAAATAGGGCGAAATTGGTCAAAAATATGGCAAAAAATAGGGCATGATTTTAACAACTTAAAAATTAACTTATTTCAGATAAAAAGCAATATCCTGCATATTTTCACTAGTTTTAAATAAATTGAGCAATAGTGATCAGTATTGATTCTAAACAATTAAAATGGGCAAAAATTTTTTCAAAAAAATTTTTCGAAAAATTTTTTGGGTAAAATTTTTACAAACATATTTAGGGGTTTTTTAGTGCATATACTATATGTGCATATTTGGCGTTTTTCGTGCATATTTTGGACCACCCTAATCATAAACAGTCGGTATTCATTTTTCAGCGCCGCAAGAAAAATTTTTGAAATTTTGGCTGGTCAATAAGCCAGATTTCTTCCTTTTCTTGCGCCGCAGGCGAAAATTTTGAGAATTTTGGAAGACCAGTCAGCAGATTTCTTCCTTTTTCCTGCGCCTCACACGAAAATTTTTGAAAATTATGGGAGTCAACGGTCAGATTTCTTCCTTTTTCTATCAGTTTCGGTACGAAATGCTAAGAATCGTAAACATTTTTCAAAATAGTAAAAATAGGGCAAAAATATGGCAAATGAAAAAATAGGGAAGAAATAGGACGAAAAGGTCAAAAATAGGGCAAATGCCCTATAAATAGGGTAAAAGGGTCACCCTGTGTCAGAGCTTTAGTGAAGATTATCAGTTTATTAAACGAATAATGTCACGAATGATGGAAATATCATGTTGAGCTGTCTAAAATGACCTCTCTGTTAAGACTACTCAATATAAAGCTGGACTGCTTTAAGTTTCTTAAATTTTAATATTTTAGTGGTTCAAGTGAGAGAGAAGATTTTGAAAAATTAAAAATCCGAATAGATAAAGGTCTAAAAGAAATCATAATTGAAGGAGAAGAAAGCCAACATGGAGTAGAAACGCTGATAATAAATGGAGAATTAAAAACAATTGTAATTAATAAAGAATTGGAAGAAAATCGAGTTATTGTAGTAAATAAAGAAGCTATTGATCTAATTGAATTTTATTTTAAAAAGTCGGGAAAGGAAATAGTCAAAAAGAAATGTGTTCATAATTTTGATTTGAATGAATTGCCAAAAGAAGATAAAGAAGCTAAAGGAATTGTTGATTGACTGTTAAACTGATAAAAAAATTTTAATTATTCCTTTTAAAGGACCAATTCACTTTCTTTAAATTCCACCAAGTATTTATAAATTTTTTCCTTTTATTTAATCTACTGGTAATCATTGTATAATAGTTTCGAGATTATGGTCAGTTAGAGATTATTTTGTGTTTATTTTTTATAAAAAATTAACTTTAAATTATTATTAGATATTGCTTTTAATTGTATTTTTAAAAATATTCTTGTTTTGTTGTAAAAAACTTTCATTCGGATCGTGTTGAATTCTGTTTCTAAGGTAAGAGTTCGAGTCGGGCCACCCAAAAATTTACCAGAACATCACAATTCCATGCGAAAATTTTGAGAATTTTGGAACAGCATTAGGTCAAATTTCTCGCTTAATAGAAAATTTTTCAATTATAATTGTCGGGTACCGGATTTTGTAAAATCTATGACACTCCTAATCCCAAGTCAGGCCAAATCTGCGGCCCGAAACAAACATAAATATAATCTTCTCTATAGAGAATCTGAATCGGTATGAAAAAAGATCCTTTTAATCTTATTAAAAACAATTTTCTGTAAATTTTAGTTATTGTTACTTTAAAGATTTATCGCGAATTAAAGCAAATTACATGTTTATCAGAAGATGTTTAAAATAAAAATAAATGAATATTTAAATATAATATGGTGAATGTGTGGTTGAAGATGGAAGGTTTTCGAAATTTTTACATGTCGCTTTCAAGTAATCGGGTGATCTGAGACGGATTCATTACAAATTATAATCACTATTAATTAGTTTCTAAAGTTTGAAGATTTTCAGAGGGAATCTATTCAACACAAAATAAAGGGGTTGTGTTGCGGTTTTGTGTATTTTTTAAATAAATGCTATGAACCCGTCCTGATCTGCACCATTACCAA